TGAATCGAGAAAAAAAAAATCATAAAAATCTGACTACTATATCATATAGCTGCCATAGGAAAGATCGAAATATCTATAAAGAAATAACGGAAATAAAATAATAACATCGTTGTCTTTCATTAGACAATCATGATTTTTGGAAAATAGAGTTTTCTAATGACTCTTGAGTTTCAAATTAAATTTCATCAAAATCGGACGACTATATCATTTAGCTGTCATATGAACAATAGTCGAAAATATGGAAAATTAATAGAAAATCGTCATAGCTTCAATGTTGTTTATCCTTTATCCTAGAATTGGGTTAAAATGTCTTTAATTATTTTTTGAGGCATACCTCTTAGGAAATCATTTTTTATATATTTTTCCCCCAAGGATTGGACCTAAGCTCCCGTGTATCCATAGTGTAAATATAAGTGGGTGGTCCCATGTAGGCTAGAAAGTTTCAATGGCTTCTATTCCCCAATGGGATTTATAGGTTGTAAACGGATTATACGCTTAGTGTGCTTCAACAACGGCTTCCGAACTTTCCGCAGCGCCAATGGCAGTCGAACATACCCTAGATGAGAATAATTGCTCTGGTAGTCACCGGCTACGAGCGCTTAGTCACCAGCTACCGCTCACTTCACTTGTCCGCATTTAAAGTCACCCTGGGCCATCCCCAAGTTGCTTCCAGCAGCGCTGTTCCATTTATTTCATTAGCGTCCTGGCCCCCTTCTTACGTCGCGCTGATCTGCCTTATTGTTGGTGTTATCCTTGCATGACTGATGTCGCTGTTGCCCCGTTACTGTTAAAATTACACATTTTTGTGGTTGCTTCCTGGTGTGCGTGCGTCTTGGGATTAGCCGGCCTTTGTCGTTTTCCCTGACCGGGTTCGAGTCCCTGTTTAAATACCGTTTAACAATTTCCCGTCGGCGAGCAGTGGCAATCTTGTTTGTGCCTTTCAGCTAATATCAAATGAGCAAGAAGGTGTACACTCGCAAAAAATGTTTTTATTATTTAAGAAATTCGGAAATTTTGTCTGATAAAAATGTGGCAATCCTGTTTGTGCCTTTCAGCTAACATCAAATGAGCAAGAAGGTGTACACTCACAGAAAATGTTTTTATTATTTAAGAAATTCGGAAATTTTGTCTGATAAAAATGTGCACCCTTTCATTTTCTTCAAGCTTTCACAAGTATAAAAGAATGTTCCCAAAATTGTATGTTGCGCTGCTCTGGGAAACAATAACAAGGTTTAGATTTTTAACAGTGTAGCCCAACCACCCTCGTATCTGATTTCGTTGGTTATTCTAGATGTACTCTATGTATGTGTAGCCCTATTATCAGTTAAGACCTCATGAAATACATTTAATCCTTTGGGACTGTTGATTATCAAACAATTTGCACGCATTATGGTTTAATGTTTGACTGGTATTATTCAAATTATCAATCAATAATGTCAGTGCTCAGTGAATTCGTATAAGCAAAATAATTTTCCAAGTTAAAGATTTATGGGGTTTCGTTTATCAAAGGATTCTTTTGTTAAAAGCGTCATAGACATCTACAACAAACAGATTAAAGCTTTTTATATATACATGTACATATTTCTAAAATAATATATAGGTAGTATAAAAAGTATGAAGTCAAGCTTTTTTTACACTAAAGCCTGAAATAAACCCTTCTCTGGTTAAGTGTATTAACGCGGATAAAACCAAATCTTCAAGAGGAGAAAATTACTTGCATTATATGACAGCTTTAATATAATAAATAGTAGTCCAAGATAAAATATTACATAGATCAATATATAAAACAAGGCATAAAAACGGGAAGACTCTTCTAGAGAAACAACGGTTTGACGTTATCTAAAAAAAACGAATTTCAGTTCATATGAAAGCCCGAGATGATATAGTCGTCCGATTTATAAAATTTTAATTCGAAACTAAAGAGTCATCAGAAAACTCAATATTTCAAAAATTATGCTTTTCGGATGAAATACAACGGTTTTATAATTTTTTTCCGTTTAGTTCCTTAAATTCTATATAGATTTTTCAATCGTTCCTATGGTAGCTATATGATATAGTGGTCCGATTTTTATGAAAATCGAAATTTAATAGTAGGTAGTTAAAAAACACTATCTGGAAGAAGTCAAGTTGATATGCTCAAAACCAACGAAGTGTTTTTTTTACAATCTCTCGTATGGGAGCTATCCGATATAGTTGTTCGATCCGGCCCATTCCGACTTATACACTGCGTGCAATAACTCAACAACTTTTGGGAAAGTTTCAGCCATATAGGGACAAACGGACAGACGGACAGACAACAGTTCGTTTTATGTGGGTAGGACACATAGCAAATTTTATCCAAGACAATAACTATTGAAAGCCTAATTTCTTTAAGTTATAAGCTCTGCTCTATTGTGATTCTAAAACTCAGTTATTGTTTCCCCCACTTTTTCGTTTGATTTTTGCACTGCTGCCTGGTTATATGCCTGCCGAAAATCGTTTTATTTGGATAGGACACTTCATAAATTTTCAAGAAATGTGTATTTTAATCAAAAATTTTAAACTAATTAACAGGCATTGCCGTGACACTTGAATAATGCTATTTTTCATTGAATCAGCTAACTTTTTTAATAAATTGGCGTCCCAAGAATCCCATTCTTTTTTTTTTTGGCGTGTTTTCGCTGCATTGGGCAGTCAAATTGCCTTTTATTTTTGTAGATATTGTGGACCATGACTCCATATGTTTTCTTTGGGATTAAGATCAGGGGAGCATGGTGGCCACTTCAGTTCCTCGACGGAGCGCGCCTCCAAGAAGTTTCTGGTCAAGCGACTCACGTGTATTGGAGCATTATCTCGTTGAAATATGAGCTGCTCTTCCCTATTTTACCCCGAATAGGGGAGTAAACCCCGCTCCAACACTTCGTTGTACTGTCTATTCGACAAGTTACACAATGAAAATCAACAGTGATTGAACCCCACACCATATCTGACCCTCCACTGAAATTGCGCGTTGAACCCATCAGGCCATCCAAATTCAATTTTTTTTTATAGGAAAATATAATCTAAACATAATGAGCCAAACCGGCGCAGGACATGGTGGAATTGAAGACCTTTTTACTAGATGCTGCTTATCTGGAACGTTTAGTTTTATTTTTTGAGCCCTTTATAATTTTTTTTATATAATACATATATGAAAAAGTTTTTCCTTTAACGATTGCATTATTTATTGTTGAGCAGTTGCATTATTGTGATGAAAAAGTGATGAATTGTATTTCCACAAACGGTGCGGTATAATTTTCAGATAATACGGTTCGACTATATGGTAAGAACTCCTGATACACCACGCCATGGTAATCGAAGAAAACACTAGGCAAAACTAGCTGCTAGAGGCACAATCGGAGCAAGTATAGACAGTTCCTAGCATATTATATATATTATTATATATAATTAGCTGCCATAAAAAATATGTAATATATTTAAAACTCGAGATTGCTAGAGAAGTACACCATTCTTCTTGACGTTGTACGGATAGACTCAATAAAAAGAAATTAGCTGTTTAGAGTCTAGCGGTTACCCAAATACATTTTTAAGTGGTATTTATTGGTCTTGGCTTTCCAGGAAGACCCATTTAGCTTCATGATAAAAATCCATTGTAACACCATCCGATTTTCTAAAGAAAGTGTGGAAAGAAAACCACAATAATGATTTTAACAAATTGTTTACATAGAGTCCTTCAGTTTAAGAAAGATGATATGGTAGTATTGAGTGACAAAGGAGGATTATTTTGCAAATCCTAATCTTTTAAAGAAGTCTTGTGACCGTCAATGCCAATAAAAGTACCATGTTTTACTAGAAGTCGACAAGATAAAGATTTAGGGTAGATTAAGAATGATAAACCTGTTCAGAACACAAAACCAGTCAACACCTACTCTAATCGCTTTTGAAGTTTAATTTGAAGTGTTTTTAGGATAGATTAAAAGAAAAATTCGGGATCGGGATAGACGGGAACTTCATTTTTAGGGGATGAAAACTTAAAATGCTCTTCATTTGTTTTGCCGCGAAGGGTACACCTCACACCCTATACACCATTATTATTTCTATACCCTTGCAGAGGGTATTATAGTTACAGTCAGGAGTTTGCAACGCGGTAAAGAAAAAATCTTGGACCACATACTAGAACAGACCATTATATTATAATATATAAATTCTTGTTCAGTAACACCACCTGAATCGACCGTCGTCTCATCTGTATGCTTCCATATAAACTAGTCTTAGTTTCAAATCTATCTCACTAAAACGGATCGACTATATTGGATAGCTAGATAGAAAAACTCGGAAACAAAATTCATATGTTTTTGGGTTGTGTAACGATTGTAAATAAATTATACATTTTTGTGCATCTGAAAGTTAGCAACAGGAATATGGATTCACTTGATTCCTAGTAAGTACAAACCAAAATGAGCGTCCGAAGGTTTATGAGATAGTTACCTCACAATGGCAATGACATTTTGTTAAAACAGTTTGTTAAAACAGTTTCATTAAAACGAAAGACCTTAAATAGTCAGGCTAATCTCGCTTTTATTGATTACTTGTTATAGAAGTTCAATATACTTTAAGCCCATACATTGGAAAACAATTTATATAAACCTGTACGTATGTAAGTCGTGTTCGTCAGTATTTACCGCACTGTCTACAATAAGATTTAAAACTTACTGCAAGAAGTTCATAATTTACTTCCCTGATCGGAAGTGCGAATGCTAGAACAAGATAGGCGTAGGTGGAGTGGCTTTGATCGAATTCATTCACACTCACAATGGGCCTGACAGAGACAGCGCTTGCACCATGGATGAATTGAAGAGGACAGAACAAGTACACTTAAGGGCCACCTTCTAAGACCCGGATTTTGTCGGACCAATGGGAAGCGATGGTTCAAAGAGGGGCGTGGCTTGCGAGAACCGTTGGTACCGCTTGCACCCTTATGCCATCAGCACTCAGCCATTTTGACCCGTCTCAGACATAGTTTAAACACCGCGTCGACCGCATGTATTTGTTTTCCGTCAATTTTTCGCAATGACATGCGAACAAAATATTCACGGTACATATTTTGCAAAATACCGTTTGTTACCGACTTAAAAAAATCAGTGCTTAAATGGATACAATAAAATGGTGCTATTATGGTGTTCTTACACTACAAGTACAATTACAAATTGTTACTTTCAGAGTGATTTAGTATTAATTAACAACTATCACCGTGGCAATGAAAATATCTATAAACAATTCATTAGCATGTTTGATAATGATAAATCGTTGGTTTGAGTAATGCTATTTAAAGTGGCAATTATTAATGTTAAAACAAAAACGAAAGCTATATACCCGTGCAGTCTTGACACATATAATGAGAAATGCAGACTGATTGTTCCAATGACAACTATATAACATAATCTTCAGATTTAATTCGAAAATTCAGTTAGGGGTCACCTAACAGACTCCATTTTAAAAAAATTATGCTTGTATGATTCAGAATATGTAATGTATGATACCCTTACAAAGCAGAGGGTACTGTCATTTCAGTCAGAAGTTTACAACGCAGTGAAGGTGTCTCCTTCCTTGAATTAAATTTTTTAAAAATCGGATAACTATATCATATAGCTGCCATAGGAAAGATCGAAAAATATATCTATAAATAGTAGCAAAAATAGAAGTACGTCGTTGTTTTCAATCTCAAAAACATGATTTTTAAAACCTGTTGTTTTTTAATAAGTTTGAATTGAATACCAAATTTCATAGATCTATACAACTATATTATAAAGCTGTCATAGAAAAGATGGAAAAATCTATATAGAATTAACAGATATAACATTTTAACGTTGTTGTTTTTCATTAGGCAAGCATGATTTTTGGAATAAAGATTTTTCTAACAGCTCTCTTGAATTTTAAATAAAACTTAATAGAAATCGGACGACTATAGCATAAAACTGGCATATGAATAATTGTCGAAAATATAAAAAATTAATATAAAAATCGTCATAACTTCGATATCGATAGGGTATATAGGCTTCGGCTTGCCGAAGATAGCTTCCTTTCTTGTTTTAAATATGTTTTTCGATCTTTCCCTAGGTGTCCTTATAGTATAAGATTCCGAATTTTATGAATTTTTTTTATGTTTTATTCAATAGTAGGCAGAAAACTTGATAGTCCAAAAATCATGCTTGTGTGATAAAAAAAAAACGAGGTTGTAATGTCTGATTTCTTAGTTTTATAAGCATTTTCTTTTTTAATTTTTCTGTGGCAGCTACATGATAACGTCATCCGATTTTTATAAAATTTAATTTGAAAAAGTTCTTAAAAATCACCATCTGGAATCGCGTCGATATGACAAAATACAACGAAGTATTAATTTGTTTCCGTTTTTCTTTTTCTTTCTCTTATTGGAGCTATCCGATCTATTTGTTTGATCCGGACCGTTTAGACTTCTATATACATATATGTACGTAGAAAACAAACAGACTGACAGACGAACCGACGGACCAACACCATTATCCCCTGTAACTTCTGCAAAAGTCTTGTAGCTATTGCTTGATATTGCAGATCATGTCCCTTAAAAAGGATTTTAAGCACGAAAGGAAGCTAGCTTCAGTAGGCCGAAGCTTATATGCAAGGATATATAGTCATCAAATATGTCGAACAAAATACATAAGGGATTAACAAAATTGAAGCGATGACGATTTTGCTATTAATTTTCCATATTTTCGATATTTTCGATTTCGATACACGAAATATCAAAGGTGCTTTAATATACCCTTGCAGAGCGTAGAATTATTTTAGTCAGAAGTTCGCTACGCAGTGAAGGCTACATCTCAGACCCCATAGGGTATATATATTCTTGATCAACATCACGATTGGAATTTCGTATTAAATTTTATCAAAATCAGATAACTCATATATCTGCTATCATATAGCTGCCATGGGAAAGTCCAATATATATATATATATATATAAATAATGGAAACAAATAACAATGTCGTTGTTTTTAATCCCACAAGTATGAGTTTTAAAACATTGAGTGTTTTGATAACAAATCAGACAACTATATCATATAGCTGCCATAGAAAGGGTCGAAAATCTATATAGAATTAACGAAAATAAAATGAAAACATGGTTGTATTTCATCAGACATGATTTATCATGATCATGATTTTTGCAGATAAAAGTTTCTTAACGACTCTTGGATTTCGAATTGAATTTCATAATAATTGAATGACTATATTATATAGCTTTTATATTACCTAATAAAACAATCGACTTGGCTTCGATGTTGTTTAGCCTTTATGTACTTTGTTCGACAGATTTGTAAGTATGGAAAAATTAATAGATAAATCGTCATTACTTTACAGTGTTTTTTTTGGAGGTACAGTCACAAGATCTTGGTGGCCAATTGACAGGCTCAAAATGGCTTTTAATAACTCGATTGTGGCTCGAGCTGTGTGGAAATGATGGTTGTTCAATTCAGGAATGAAAAAGATAGTCATCATGGCTCTATACCGATCACCATTGACCGTAACGCTCTGGCCATCGATGATGGATTTTTAAAGAAGTACGAACCAATGATTCCACCAGCCCATTAAGCGTACCAAACAGCCAGTTTTTCTGGATGTAGCAGTGTTTCGTGATACCCCTCTCAAAAATCCTTCGTCCTTATTTGCTAAACTGAGCCATCTATTCTTCAAATAATGGATTACTTTTTACTTGACCTATAATATTATATAATTATGTTGGACAGACAGCTTTAAAATGAGAAACCAGTTTGCGTACAAACAGACAGACAAACTTGTCTAGATAGGTCCAGATGGTGATGCTGATCAAGAATATATATATACTTTATGAGGTTTGAGGCGTCTCCTTCACTGCGTTGCAAACTTCTGGCAGAAACTATAATACCCTCTGCAGGGAAATAAAAATAGAGTGTAGCGATCATGATTGGTCAGCATCAAAAAGCATAAATGGAATTGAAAAGGTCAAAAATGTGCAACGGAATGAAGGGTTTTATGTTCTTGATCAGTATCCCTTAGCGAGAATAATACGTCGATATCAGTTAAAAGGATTCATTTTTCAATAATCGTAAATTTAGTTACGAGGGCCGTTTGACTTTTAAATTCCCCCGCAGTTACTCCAAATGCAACATTGCCTATTAGTGGGCAACTATCAAGTTTTGTCACGACAACCTGACATAGTCACTATGCCCCAGCATATTATTCAGATTTGTTCAAAATAAATTTTCTTTCGCTTCGTATTCACCATTAAAATCTGCATGTTTAATTTAAAAGGTTTTAGTTAAATTTTTAGCTGATGGGCATAAAAATAAGCGTGCCAAATTTTAAAACTATGTTCGCTGACAATTTGTTGCTAGAACTCGAGCCATCAGAACTCTGGGCTCACTGAGTTGAACGGCTTTTGGTCGTTAAAGTGGGCAAGGCACTTTCTTTTGAAATTCCTGCGCTGCGTATTTACTTCTATGATCTGTGTGTATAACCCGAATACCATAGTCCAGTAAAAGTCAAAAGGGCATTCAAACAGAAAGGCGGACAGGTTTCAAAGGCTGGTGGGGGGAAAGGAAAGTGGGCGGGCAGATTTTATGCCTGTGATGCGTATCACGAGTAGAATCAAAATTATTCTAACATAAAAACTGCAGTCGCCACAGATTTTCGAGTAAGCGTAATTTAACAAACTTGCGCTGCTTACAAATACCAAGTATCTACATTTTAATATTCTTGCTCGGAAACTATAAGAGCTAAAGCATCAAGATTAAAAATTAAAGTTTAAATTATTTTTAAATTTGCCACGCAGAGTGTTAACTCCTGTGTACATTTAGAGTATTGGGTTAAATTAAATAATTAAAATGTAGGAGTAAAAACAACCACTTTTGTTCCCACAAACAGCTAAATAACGTGTATTGTAGTAGTAAGTCCTAAGCAACACTGTGCAATATTAGATTTAAGTATTATACAACACTATGCTCACTCTCATAGTTACATTTACCGCTAAAATTGAATTACCACTACCATATATATGTTTAAAATAATATTCTTTATTAAATCTTTTACAGGTTCAAATTGATTGTACTTGAAGATTGAAAATAAGAACGTCGTGGCTTGGATGTCATTAAAAAATGGCTCAATCGGACTTAACTGCTTCGCAGGCGATCACAGCCGACCAGGATCATGGAAACTCATCAGACAATAGCCACTTGCCAAAGCAAACGTTGCCTCACATTTTCTCACTGGAAGCAACAAGAAATCCACAGGCTCAGTCCACAACAGTGGCTCTCGAACAATACCGACTGCAGCTGTATAACTATGCCTTGAATATTGAACGATTTCGATGCCCCCCATACGGCACAGCGAGTGCCCCATGGCTGAACTTGGGGTCGTACGGCCCCCAAGGCTCTGGTAATATGCCAGCAGTCAACCGAATGGCCGCACTCTCAACCATATCCCTGTTCCCCCAAACGCAACGCATTTTTCAACCCGAAGAGCCCAAGCCGCAACACAGCTACATAGGCCTCATAGCCATGGCCATTTTGAGCTCAACCGAACTGAAGTTGGTCCTCTCAGACATTTATCAGTACATTTTGGATAACTATCCGTATTTTAGAAGCCGCGGCCCGGGCTGGAGGAACTCCATTAGACACAATCTCTCACTTAATGATTGTTTTATCAAATCGGGCCGCAGTGCCAATGGCAAGGGGCATTATTGGGCAATACATCCGGCCAATATGGATGATTTTCGCAAAGGAGATTTCAGACGTCGCAAGGCTCAGCGAAAAGTACGAAAGCATATGGGACTGTCAGTGGATGATGCCAGCACTGACTCGCCCAGTCCGCCTCCCTTGGATCTCACAACCCCTCCGCCACCCATCTCGCAGCCTTCAATGCAACTATCCACTTTGGGATATCCCTATCACCATCAGTATCTGGGGCAGTTCTTCAACAGAGCCCACGCGACCGGGCTGCCACAGTGTTCCTCTAACCAAGATCCAACTCGAGTAATGCAGCTTGATCCATCTCAAATCCAGCAGCCACACCCCCCGCATCAGCATATTGCATATATCAACTCTACCACGACAACGACCATTGCCAACATGTTTTCGCAGACACGAAAACGGCAGTTCGATGTGGCCTCTCTACTGGCACCTGATGTCCAGATGGTCGATATTGTTCCTGAGGATCAGGAGTCCTCGGTTAGGCCAGCGACAACGGCCAGGACAACAACTCAAACTCACCACACAGTCATCACAAAACAAACTATACACCGAGAAGTGGTTTTGGGGTTAGAACAAGCAGTGACCGATGCTGAAATCGATACGGATATTGATGTAGAAGTCGATGTCGGGGACGAGAGCATTAATCCTGACCCCTATATAGAGGCAGATGAGCAGGAGAAGAATTCAAAGAAGATGAAACAAATATTCTCCGTGGAGGACAATAACTCGTACCTATGCGAGGGAAGGCTCTCCTCCTTTGATGACCCCGAAGAGCACAACTTTTCGATGTCCAGTTCGGCAGCTAGATCCTTGGGTAGCAGTAGTAGCCAGCACGAGGAGTCAAGCTCCTTGGAGGAATGTCCCATTTCCGAAACCTCCATTTCTGCGACCTCATCATCGCTCATTTTGCCCGTACCTGCTGCTGCGAGACCAACAACTTTGGCAGTAACCGCTCCGAATGCATATATCGAACTTAACCACGTTGATCCACACATGATAAGCAGGTACTATGGGACTTATATGGCCGCAGCAGCTCGACGAGCCAGTATAGAGATGTCAAAAACTGCAAAGACGCCAATTGTAACCCCACCTTCAAAGCCAGAAATAGTCTTTCAAAAGTAATCAGCTCTATATATATAATAAAAATTGAAGACCCACCCTGCAATACAAGTAAATACCTAAATCTATATTAAATCTATATAGGGTCCGATTAATGTAGTTTTATATATATATAAATAAACATAAATAAATGTTAAACTATTGTTAAACTGCGTAGAATTCAAAATAAACTCTGTGAACTAATTCAAATTCAATTTTGTATCATGGTCTTTAATTTATTTCTTTTTTAATAGCCCACGGAACTCTACTAAGGCCAAAAAAAGGTGTGAAAAAATGGAAAATCCGATTTTTCAAAAATTGTAAGGGGGGAGCCCATAAAAATTTCGAAAAAATTTAAAAAAGCTGGTATGAAACTTTGTTATAGCTCTAGAAACATGAAAGAAAACACCTCCCCCGTCAAGATAAAATAGTTTTTGGCCATTTTATGCAGGTTTTACCGAAAAAAAGGTGCGAAAAAATGGAAAATCCGATTTTGCAAAAAGTGTAAGGGGGGAGTCCATGAAAATTTCGAAAAAATTTATTTTCTGAAATTTAACAAGAAAGGAAGCTAGCTTCGGCAAGCCGAAGCTTATGTACCCTTGCAGTCATTAAATATGTCAAACAAAATACATAAAGGCTAACAACATCGAAGCTATGACGATTTTTCTATTATTTACCATATTGTTCATATGACAGCTATATGATATAGTCGTCCGATTTTGATAAAATTTAATATGTAACTCAAGACTCATTAGAAAACTCTATATTCCAAAAATCATGATTGTCTGATGAAAAACAACGAGGTTATAATTTTATTTCCGTTATTTCTATATAGATTTTTCGATCTTTCCTATGGCAGCTATATGATATAATACTCCGATTTTTATGAAATTTTTTTCTCGATTTAAGAGTATTTCAAAAACTTGATGTTCCAAAAATCATGCTCGTGGCATTAAAAACAACGACATTACAATTTTTTTCCATTATTTATATATATATTTTTTGATCTCTCCTATGGCAGCTATATGATAGAGTTATCCGATTTTGATAAAATTTAATCCGAAATTCAATAGCAGTTAGAAAACGCCATCTAGAAGGAATCAAGTCGATCTGATCAAAAACAACGGAGTAAGAATTTTTTATTTCATTCTCTTGTATGGGAGCTATCCGATATAGTCGGCCGATCCGGCTCGTTCCGACCTATATACTGCGTGCAACAACTACACAACTTTTGGGAAAGTTTCAGCGAGATAGCTTTACAACTGAGAGACTAGTTTACATAGAAACCGACAGGAGGACAGACGGACAGACAGACAGACAGATAGACGGACAAACGGACAGACGGACAGACGTACAGACGGATTTGGATTCTGATCGTGATGCTGATCAAGAATATATATACTTTATGGGGTCTGAGGTGTTTCCTTCACTGCGTTGCAAACTTCTGACTGAAATTATAATACCCTTTTGCTCTGCAAGGGTATAAAAAAGCTGGTATGCAACTTTGTTATAGCTCTAGAAACATGAAAGAAAACACCTTCCCCGTCAAGATAAAATCGTTTTTGGCCATTTTATGCAGGTTTTACCGAAAAAAAGGTGCGAAAAAATGGAAAATCCGATTTTGCAAAAAGTGTAAGGGGTCCATGAAAATTTCGAAAAAATTTATTTTCTGAAATTTAAAAAAGCTGGTATGCAACGACATAGCTACGCCACCTGGGAGGCAGATGGTGTGCGAACCTGCTTTTTTCTATGTAAGGTTTAAAGCAAAACTAAAAGGTTGTAGGTCTTTAGTTCTCCTAATAACATCAAATAATAAGGTTCCTGCCATGAATGAATGTAACGTATTTTTACGTACACTGTTATATTACATTTGTACTTTTTTAAAACCTTAATTTTAGTCCGTGCCGTTATTAAAGTCCGGACACAAACCCTCGCTGAGATTGTTTGGTTACGCGATGGGTAAGAAGGAGGAAGCTATTGCGCGGGAGCCTTATTTTGATCCCAACTGCTGGATAACACCTTCTTATGGCAGTCATATGATATAGTCGTTTTTACGAAATTTTATTTAAATTTAAGAGACCTTAAAAAACATTATTGGAATCAAATAAAAACTCGCTTACCCAAAATCGGAGTCGTGAAGTTGCATTGTGTAAGTAACACTACATTTTTTTAGAACCTTAAAAGATATCTCCCAACGACATAGCTACGCCACCTGGGATGTGAGGTTTAAAGAAAAAAAAAAATATAATTTAAATTTATATGACCTCCCCCAAGGGGAGCTACCCGATAAAATCATCGAATCCGGCCAGTTCCGACTTAAATACTGCGTGTAATAACCACTTAAGTTGTGGAAAAGCTTCATCGAGAAAGCTTTAAAGCTGAAAGACAAGCTTACAAAGAAACAGACAGACGGACAGTTGGCGATGCTGACCAAGAATATATATATTGTATGAAGTCTGTGGTGTGTCCTTAACTTCTGATTTAAAATTTTAAAGTTTTTGTTCGAGTTTTCTTTTCGAAGTGGTCCCTAAACAAAACCTATGTTTTCTCCGGAGCGGAAAAAGGAGAAGTCTTGATGCCAAACAATTATTACAGTCGAATCCCGATAAGTCGTACCCCGCTAAATCGAAAATCGCGATAATTCGTAAAAAATTCTGTTCCCTTGAAAAAAATCTTGATTAATCGAATTCCCGTCTAATTCGTAAAAAAAGTGATCCCTTTGCCATTTAGAATTATCGGGACTCGACTGTATTTACCTAACTCGGTCTAATTGGCTTCAAGATAGTAAGGATTTGTTTTCCCTACTTTCTGAACCTACAATACTTCAATATTAATTAATATTAATATTAACTTAAAGGCAACGTTGCGAAATATAAAAATTGACCGAGTTACACTGGTTCAAGCTACATTTACGAGTGATTTTTTCTGCGTATGCGCACTTTTCTTTTTTTTTTTGTAGGTAAAAGCGCAAATTTACAAATCTTTATTTGTGGTATTTTTAGTTATTTATTTATTAATTAAAATTATTTTGTTTTTTTACATAAATAAAAAAATGGCATAAGCTTTGATTATTTTTATTTTATCTTTCGGCGATGATTAGGACTGTTATAGGGGACAGCAATATAAAATGAATTGAAAAAATTAAACGTCGTTGTTTTTTATGACGAGTATGATTTTTGAAATTAATTTTAAATTAAATATCATTAAAATCAGACGAATGTAACGTATAGCTCTCATAGGCACAAACGGAGAAATCATACAGAATGAATAGGAAAATCTACAAAGCTTTGACGTTGTTAAACTGTAATATATTTTCCCCGATTTTTTAAAGTAAAATTTAAGGTAAAATCTACTTACTATTATATTCCATCAGCTGCTCTAAAACTGGATGTGCGCGGGAATGTCAAACTTTGTATCACGCTTAGGCGGCCCAAAAACTGTCCAGCGATTGGATAGCTCGGCACCAAATCATTGGCCGCCCTTTCTATTTGTGTTCTCTGGCCTTAAGAGCAAAGAGAAAAATCAAGAGAACCAAATACTTGAGAGCAATTCGACTATGATTTTTATATTTTTAAAAGGCAGGCATGGTAAAATAAGTATAAGGTGTCTCGTCGGCTGACCAATCGTTCGTGTTGAGTTCCTTAACCTTCGTGTGGCTCTCTTAGTTTGCTTGGGTTCTCTGAGAGAGTTCCCCACCGGTTTTTACGGATTTAGAAAACGTTTTCCCTGTTAAGTCTGAAATCACATCAAACTTAAAAACAGAAGTTTCACTATGGTTGGGGAAGTTGTAGGGGGCGCAGTCTTCAGTTTACTTGTCTTCAATTTAAGCCCATTTTGATACCGTAAATGTGTTACAACCTTAAGAAAGGTCTTAACCCTACGGATCTGTGTTTTTCGAACTGAAACACACAATTTTTTAACGTTAACCCTTGTGCGCAAAGGAAAAATTGTATAATTGCAGCAAAATGTTAAGCAAGGCGAACAATATGGGAGCGAATTCAAGCCCGTGCGCCGCAATGGGGTTAGACAACAACCGATATTGCTGTTTCATTCGCTCTCATCTGAAAACACCCTTTTGCTCACTCTCACTGCACGCATTGTTAAAGGACTGTCGGACCGACGAGACCACTTTATACTCTGCCAAGAAGGTCTATCTTATTTATTTTATAACACAAGCAGCTTCAGTGGAAGTGGACTTGGAAAGTGGAATTGGAATCAGTGACAATTTGAACATCACTACGCAGTGGTGGTGTGGGTCGCAGTCCACGTGCGCGTGCTGAACTTAAAGTGCCCTATGTCAACATTATGCTGCATAACTTCGCAAGGCTTTGAGCCAGAATGATTTCGATCATATGCCGGCCATATTTCGTTGCAAAGACTTATTGCAAACGAAAAATTAATATTTTTGCGCCCGGGTGGTCGGGGATCTCAGGGCTGTGCTGTATTTAATTTCGCACACACTTGCCGAGTAAAAATGTTAATGTCAGTTTGGTGCCTACTGTAAATAAAGTGCCTGTGACTAAGCTACGCTAACACCGAAACACAAAAATGTCATAATTTAAGTTTTATACAAAAGAAAAAAATGTCAGTGTGTCGTGAACCAGAGGAACGGGAAATCCGTAAACCCAATTAATGTGACGCAGTAAAATTTGTAAATTTTCGGAAGTGCCATAAGATAGTATATTAAGATTTATTCTTTAAATAGCTAACATTAAAAGGGCTTTTAAAAGCAGTGTTCGTTGCAAAAAGCCCAAGAAGAACAACTTAGAAATATATGATTTAACCGGGTTCTATAAGACAAAGTGAGTATACTGCCTACACCGAGCAACTTAACGACAGCAATTCGAATTTCGAACTCCCCGCATAATAGTCATAAACTGTTTCCTTTTGCCACGTCGTTTGGCATTGTTTCTTCCAAAGCAGTGAGACTCTCAAGCCTGCCTCCTGATTCATCGTGGTCTGTGTTGCTGGTTGCTGGACTGGTGGTGCATACAAGCATTGGTTGCGACAGGTGCACTTGCCACGCGAGAATATTTCTGGTGCCCAGGCAGAAATCGGAACTGGAATCGAAATTCGCGCGGCGCGGTAGTGGAGACTGGGCATCCCCCCCGTGCCCAGTCTCCACTACAAGGGGGATGTGGTATGGGGGATGGGGGATAGTGGAAATATCTCATCAGTGGCTGGCCAAAAGGAGTTGGAGATCGTGTATGAGATGGCTTGCACTGGACTGGTTTTCCATACGCATGTGCTTGTATATCCGATGCGTGTGTGTGGACACAAATGCAATAGCAACAATAATGCACTGCCAGGCGAAGTATCTCAGTACGAACTCCTAAATCTTCGCAGGCTGCGATCCACAAAATCGTGTATTCACATTTCTCTTTTCTCAAATATTGAGCAATATCGTTATCGGGTATTACCTTACGCTTTCTAGTATTCCCTTGGGTCAAATGATAGTGGTACACACATATATACAAGACACATACATACATATACAATTCAAGTATTTGCTTTCGGTGCATATTTCCCATTGTCTTTTGGTTTTGTTTTCGCGTCGTTTAGTGGTGTCACTTTGGAACGCCATAAATTCTTGCCGCTGAACAGACAGGAAAGGAATAGTTGCATCCACAGCCTTTATAATAGGGTTCACGGTTACATCAAAGAAACAATCAAAGGCAACAACAATGATACACACCCCGCCCCATCGCCTTTGTAGACTTTTTCTCAAAGGCTGGTGGTGCAAACGCAAAGTCAACAGCCTCATATCCAACAATGCTCCAAAAATAAAAAGATAAATAGATAATAGAGAAGCGTAAACATAAAATAAACCAGGACTTAATGAGAGACTAAAGTCTGGAGGGTATTTACTTTATGCTAGTATTTGTGCTTCTTAAAATAAATTTAAAATGGTTAATATGATTTTATACAAGGAGTTTTAAATAATTCTAAGCATTTCAATGGAACAGATGGGATAAAACAGCTATGTTCTAATGTCTAGTTCAGTAAAGAAATGTCCTTGTTCACTGTGCGACTTACAGTCTTGCAGTTAATAGAACTACGTATGCAAGTGTACATTATCAACAGCGCCAGTATCTGCAATAGTCATTTATTGGCAGAAATACAGTATGCACTTAAAAAAGATTCACAGCGCTTACCCATTTGCACGCACGATCATTAAGTTCAACTTGAGGAGTACGTACGGGGAACATGACAGGTTGTTTATCCAGTTCTGTCTGAGAGATCTGGCAAAACTGGCCCACAGACAAAATTAGCAGCAGCGAACTAAACAAGAAAGAAACTCTGCTTTTGGGGCCGAAGCTTTAAATACTCTTCCTCCCAAAAGTCCATATAATAATCGTAAGCTTACTTACTTAATTAGAAAAAATAGATTTCTCACAATGTTATAGCATATACAAATTACACAGTTATAACTGTATAACTGTTATAACTGTATAACTCTATAACTGTAATTTTTGTACATGTAAGGTTCTTCTTGTTCTGGAAGAGCACTACATTTAACACTAATAGAAAAATATTTACAAAGTTATTTAGTTAAATTCCAAAGCATCCTTACGCAAGAGTACAGATCTTGCAGGTATATATATCTAATAACAAACTGCAGCGAAAAACATGTTTTGGGTTATATGGAAAACGTCCAAGTCCACACAGCCATGTTGCAAATTGCGTCGATACGCCGGGACTACAGTCGACGGGAGAGAAGCTCGGAAAACTAGTTGTATTGTCGACGCTAATGCTGTTGCTTTTTTTAAGTCGCTGCAACGAAAAGCAACAACAACACACTCGAAATAACAACAGGTGAATGCGAATATGAGTTATCCAACAAGAGTAAAACTAAAACGTGTGCTATGTGGTTACATACAGCAGAAAAGGCCGAAATTAAAACTAACAAATACTAAACTTACCAAATAATGAAATCATTTTTTACCCCAAAAAGTATGTATATTCCTGATCTCCATCATCATCACCTTCACGGTCTACCACAAAAACTAGTCTTCCACTTTTAAAGCTATTGTGCTAAAATGTTGCTTAAAATCTTGCAGTTATTGCAGATAGTACCTATATAGATATGACGGAACGAACCAGGTCGGTCGACTGTAGCTCTTATAGAAAAACATGATTTTTGGAAGAAGGATTACCGAGTATTAAATTCAAATTTTAAGTATAAATAAATAATTAACTTTATCATATATCAGTTAACATTTTTGTTCTATTAATTCTACATGATATCTTGAAACTTAATTTGTAGTTTAACTTCGATCTTTCCCAGGAGACCTACAAACCTTTTCGTTAAAGTTAAATATAATATGATAGACAAGTTAAACAAGAATATAAGCTAGCTTCCGCGAACCGAAGCTTATATACCCTTGCAGTCATCAAATATGTCTGATGAAAAACAACGATGCTATAATTTTATTTCCGATATTTCTATATAGATTTTTCTATCTTTCCTATGACAGCTATATGATGAAGTTATCTGATTTTGATCAAATTTAATCCATAGTAGTTAGAAAACACCGTCTAGAAGAAATCAGTCAATATGATCAAAAACAACGGAATGATAATTTTTTTTTCAATCTTCCCTATGGGAGCTCGCCCGATCCGGCCCGTTCCGACTTATATACTATTCATATATTATATACTTCATATATACTATTCAGATCGTAATGCTGATCAAGAATATATATACTTTATGCGGTCTGAGGTGTCTCCTTTACTACCCTTTTGCTCTGCAAGGGAATACAAAAAATAAAGAAGTGATATTAAGTACACTTTTTCGCTGACTGCTGATTAAATAAACAAATTACTATAGGTTTTTAATGACTGCAGGATATACAAATAAGTTAGCTTAATTCAATCTCAATATGATATTGACGTCAAAATGTCAAAGAGAAGTCGTGAAAAATTAAAAAGAACGCCATGCGCTGCGTTATCGTAAGTAAAACCCACTATATAGTAAATTAGTTTATGTGAAATAAAAACTGTTTTCGCTTTCTATGGACGTAATATTGGAGAATCTTAATTTTTAATCGCAATATGGAAAAGAAATTTGTGATTAGTCTAGCCTTTTAAAAGACTTCAGTTCTCACTTCAAGGGCAATAAGCTTTTGCCTGACAAATCAAGCTTCCTTACTTCTGCACTCAACAAAGTATTCGAAGCCATATTCCATTCTTTGTATAGAATAATTCTTTTGCAGCCGAAGTGTTATGTCATTGCACTTAAGAGTGTGGAAACAAACGCATCGTCTGTTGGTTAAAAGCAGAATGAACGGAGGAGTTGATTCAAATAGTCTGGCAAACAACACAGCTTTTGTATTCGATCTTAAATTGGTCGGACCCTTGCCACTGACTCCAACATTTCACGGTTGACATCATCAAGAACAAATGATATTACAATTCCGATTTTTAGTTAGATAACATACTTATTACAAAATGCCTGTTGAACATCCTTCGTTTTCATAAGTTACAACCAAAGATTAATAAGTAAAAAATAAAATGTGGGTCAATGAATGGTCCAGGGTGTCCGGACCCTAATGCACTTGAAAGAAAATTACTAAAAACTTAAATAGTTTCTAACCATTTAAATGTTTGACTAATTTTTATTTTTAATAGGGAATTTTGCCTAGCTCCTTCGAATCCGAAAAACGTTCTACATAAGCTTATAATTTTTTTCGCAAATTTGTTATGTACTGATTAAAAAGCCAGCAGTTTTTTGCAGTGCATTGAAATGTATCAACTGCAGGAGCGAACGCCACTCGCCACTGAAAATACCGTTTTTTTAAATCAGATTTGAATGATCATGTATGTATCATGTATGTATGTATGTATGTATACATATTTGGAAACTACTCGTATACAAAGCGAATACCATTTTTTTAAATTTTAACCCATTATACTTCCAATTTTTTCTATGAGAACTTCGTATATAGTTTACATATGTCGTTCGATCCAGCTTACATTCCATCCGCAGTAGCAACAAGACTTTTGGCAAAGAGGGATAACTGTAAAACTGGGGTAAAAACAGACACATGGACAGATGTATGTATGTATGTGTGCACATGCTTAGATCGATTCAGATGGAGCCGCTGGTGCAATAATATACAGTCGAGTCCCGGTAATTCGAAATGGCAATTATCGCGATTTTCGATTTAGCGGGGTACGAATTATCGGGATTCGACTGTAGTAACTTTTTGGGTTCGAAGGTCCTTCTCTGCGCTGCGAACTTTTGACTTGAACTACAATAGCCGCTACGAGGGAAGAGAAATATACCCATATTCGAGAGTTTATGCATATGCAGAGCAGATGTGCTTCAGATGGTATTTATAAGCAGTCTTACCTCATTGTCAATCGTTTTAAGTCTTTTGACTTTGGGACAGAGTGCAGAAAACTCTTATGTTTACGTATACCCTTATTAAGGAAGGATAACAAGAAACGAAACTAGCTTCTGTGGGCCGAATACATCGAGTAAATCACATCACAAATATGTATGTATATAGTAACAAGATTTGTATTCCCTTGCAGATGGTATTATAATTTCAGTCTGAAGTGTGCAAAGCAGTGAAGGAGACATCTCAGACCACATTAAGTGTATACATATATTCTGGATCAGCATAGCCACTTGATCCGATCTAGACATATACATATATAGATATTCGATTACCAAATTCCAAGTGAATGGCATTTTTTGGTTGGTTGTCAAAGGAGTGAAGGAATTAAGTGCTTTGCTGCTCGGTGATTTAATCTAAACCTCTTTTGTCGTTGCAAATTTCCGTCCTTTCATAGATGTCTATAGTTCTGGGGACAAAAGCAAGTCACATGGGGTCAAATCCGGTAAATATGGTGACTGAGGCATGATTATGTTGTTGTTTTTTGCCAAAACCTTTTACAAACCAAAGCTCTGTGAGTAGTGGCATTATTGTGATGCATAACTTCCAGATAAAAACTCCTGGTGCCCCACGCCATAGCAAAACTTTGACATTTTATAAAACTTGGCGTGCTTTTTTCGTTGTTAGGTCTTCTGGCCACTTCCATTCGAAAGATTTACCCATTTACCCATGATTCGTCACCAGTGACCAGTGACCAGTGACCCTTTTAAGTAAATCTCTGTCGTCGTCGAGGTCAACAGCACTTGAACGATGCTCATGCGATGGTTCCTGTGCTATGTAGTTATTGCATGCAGTATAAAATTTCGGACTGGATCGGACGACAGTATCGGATAGCTCCCATAGGAGAGATCAAGGGTATACAAGTGTCGGTTCGCCGAAGCTGGCTTCGTTTCGTGTTTATCATAAACATGACATAGGAAATATAGAGGTTTTTGACCATTTTTAATTTACAAATTAAATTTTATAAAGGTGTTGTTAAAATAACTGCTCGAATGGCATTTTCTTATAGAAGAAATATAAGCAATTTAATTGCATCCGTTGAAGAACCAGACTATGAATAAAAAATTCCGTACAATAGACTTGTGATGAGTTTCTTTTTATCAACCCAAGATTTAACTGAAATGCTAGCTTTCCTTGTTATTTTTCTTACTTGGTCCATCCATATGGTGGGCCCGAATAGCATCTGTTGATTTTATTGCTATTGGATTACAAAAAATGTGTCCACTCGGTCAGCCAAGAAATATAAAATGTATGATTTTTTGTCCAGTCTTGATATCGACAGCAGCGACCAAAGAACTGAAGTTTAATGGTCCCATTGCGGAATCGTTTTGAGTAATTTTGTAAAAAAGGGGGAATCGCTTACTCAGTATCTGTTTTAGTTTTATACCACTTAGTTACATACATATTATTATTTATATTTTGTTTGTTTGAAGGCAAACCTTCTTTTGTTACTATTATTTTTTTTCCTATAACAGCTGTATTTTCTAATAGTTCGATTTTTATAAAAATATTTTCTTGATTTATAGAAGGTAATGAAACTTGAAACTTAAACCGAAAGTCAAGATTCCTATAAAAACGTCAACTGGAAAAAATCAATTATAAGAAACTAAATATACCATATTTTCCGTTTTTCGATAAGAACTTTTTAACACTTTTTCTTATATCATTTTTATACCCTTGCAGAGCAAAGGGTATTATAATTTTGGCCAGAAGTTTGCAACGCAGTGAAGGAGACACCTCAGACCCCATAAAGTATATATATTCTTGATCAGCATCACGATCTGAGTCGAAATACGTCTGTACGTCTGTCCGTCTGTCCGTCTGTCCGTCTGTCTGTCTGTCCGTCTGTCCGTCTGTCCTCCTGTCCGTTTCTGCCTAAACTAGTCTCTCAGTTTTAAAGCTATATTGCTGAAACTTTCCCAAAAGATGTGTAGTTATTGCACGCAGTATATAAGTCGGAACGAGCCGGGTCGGCCGACTATATCGGATAGCTCCCATACAAGAGGTCAAAAAAATAAAGGATAAAAAATTATTACGCCGTTGTTTTTGATCAGATCGACTTGAATTCTTCAAGATGGCGTTTTCTAACGGTTATTAAATTTCGGATTAAATTTTATCAAAATCGGATAACCCTATCATATAGCTGCCATAGGAAAGATCTAAAAATATATATAGAAATAATGGCAAAATAATCATAACGTTGTTGTTTTTTATTCCACGAGCATGATTTTTACAACATCGACTTTATGAACTACCCTTGAACCGAGAAAAAAATTTCATCAAAATCGGACGACTATATCATATAGCTGCCATATGAACAATAGTCGAAAATATGGAAAATTAATAGAAAAGTCGTCATAGCTTCGAGGTTGTTAGCCTTTATGTATTTTGTTCGATTTGTTTGATGACTGCAAGGGTATATAAGCTTCGGCTTGCCGAAGCTAGCTTCCTTTCTTGTTTGTCCTTCTGTTAGGGAATATTCTAGCTTAATTTTATTTCATTATATTCTAATTTATTTAGTTCAAGTGTTGCTTATTTCAAAATGGCCTATACATTCGATTTGGCTGGGGCTTGGGCTGCGATTTATCGGCTTCTGCATTTTCCTCACCAATAAATAAAGTTGAAGGAACTGAGTTGGATTTTTAGAGAATTGGAAAATAATAAACTCCGACCCCTGCCAAAATAAATTCATCTGAAAGCAATTATAGTATTTTTCAGAAAGTGAAAAGAAAAACATTGGCCAGCTCGATCTGTTTAAATCCGTGTAGGAGGATATGGTAGAGTATATAAGTTGACTTTTTCCCTCTTGGCAGTGTTTCCTACATTTAAGGGCATCACAAAATTGTCGTATTTAAATTTATCAGAATTGTAAGCCAATTTTGAAACTTAGGAATAAGGTTTTGATTTTGGAGAACTTCTAAACGAAACAAAGTAAAATCAGCAACTAAGTCAAATGCGAGACGCCGAATCATAAGGATTGGAATAATGATTTTCATTAGAATAAGAAGTAAATATATCGGCCACTATCATACTAACACCTTACTTAGGAATCTGCTATACATTTTGGAAATAATATTTTTTAATTCGTTCAATTGCAGGGATGGCTTTGACAAATATACAAGAAAGGCGCCAACACCCGTTTTCATATTGAACGTGATTAGACATCATAAAAAGTGGGTAAGTAAAATGAATCAATAAAAAATCGGCCTTCGAAAAAACCACCACTACCATCGGATGGTTGAGAATCTTGGATGATGAACAATTTAAAAAGGACTTACTGTGTTTGAATCTAGAAATCCATATAGACAGCATGCAAAAGTAGGCAAGCCGAAGCTTATATACATATAGTCATTGAATATGTCGAACTGAAAGGGAATTAAAAAGAATATTTAAATTTATTTGCAAGTTCTTCATTTCTGTCTTTTAGTTCGTCGGTGTACGCAATAAAATTAGGATATTTTTAGTAGGTACTATATGTAAAAATGTCTCCTTTACAGAATGAATTTTATTGATATAAAAACACAACATTTATTTACGGTCAAGTGGCTTAAAGTAATAAAAATCCGAGCGCATAGTCACGTACTATTATTTCAGCGGTCTTCTAGATATTTAACAAGTTCGGTATGCAACTGCTACATGGATTATATTTCAAGAAAGCTTATAGGGTCAAACTTTGACATGACCATTAAGTTCCTTGGCGATTATTACACTTGTCGCACCCCATATGGCTAAGTACAGTGCTACTCCCCTTGTAGATTACTTTGTCTTCAGAAACCCCCAATGTCTGGCTTAACCTCATTGGAGATGTACTTATTTTGTCAACTTTTCCTTCACGTAGATGCAATGAAATTTTGTGGCTTATTGTTCTGGCTGGTTGTCTACCATATTTTCACATAAATAAGAAGAGCTTCTAAAAGGGGATAAAGTTTTCTTAACACCATACTTGTTTTAGGATGTAAGGATTACAAGTGTTTATACCCTTGTTCGTCTAACCGCCTTTCGGTTTCTATGAAAACAAGTCTGCCAGGAAAGATCAGAAAATCTTTTTGAAATAAGTGAAACAATAATTATTACTTTGTTGTTATCAAAAAATTCATGTTATCGAAATTGTTATCGAAAGCATCAATTTTTCTGTCTTCTAACAACTTACAAATTTCACATTAAATTTTATGAAAATCGGATGATTTGTCAAACCAAATACATAGAGGCTAAACAACATCTATATGATATAGTACTATATGATATATTACTTATATGATATAGTACTTATAGAGCTGTATAATATAGTCCGATTTAAATATAATTTAATTCGTAATTCAAGGGTCGTTAGAAAACTTTATATTCCAAAAATCATGATAGCTGACTGAAATTGTAAAACCCATTGCTCTGCAAGGCTATTGAAAGAGTACCTTAAGATCTGTTATATAGAGTTTCAAATTCCCATTTAAGCTTTTTCTGAAATACACGACTTTTGTAAAGTATCTATAGTATCAAACAGAAAGACGGACAAATGACATATCTGGATCTAGACAGATGGCGATGCTGATCTAAAATGTGTGCGAGATATTCGTATACTGCATGGAGATGGAAGTTTTCCTCAATGCCATTTGCTGACTGAAAATTTAATAACCACTGCGCGGGTATAATAAACAGACACCTGGATAACCCTTAAGTTATGTGAAAGGATGTTTACGAGTCTTCTATGGGAATGCACGGTGATAGATAGAAATTCACAGACATAAGCAGGCATACATAATACATAAGCCTGTCGGCGCGGTGGGTGGAAGTCCGGGAAGTCTGGACTGGCGGATAAACGGAGCAGAAAATGTATTCCTTTGTAAGCTAGGCGCGGTCCAGTCGGCCTTTTGTTTGCGGCTTTTTGACCAAACAAGTGCACCATCAACAAACGAACAATATACACACAAAGCGCATTCAGTAACAAAACATTCATAAACACAAAGGTACAACTCTCTTTGAACTGGGATTTGAAAGACTCCGTGGATACGTTCACAGGCCCAAGTGGACAAAAAGGATCTGACAATTCTTCCTGACTTTATGTCAGCTCTGAACCATATATGTTAATTTTAGATTAAAGCAGGTCTTTTACTACACTTATACTGGTCAAAATACACCCGAAACACCCATTTGGCTGGCTTCCTTTCTTGTTGGATATGAAGTTTTCTAACGACCCTTTAATTTCGGAATAAGTTTCATAAAAATCAGACAAGTGTATCATATAGATGTCATAGAAACAATTGATAAAAATATATAATAGTAATAGAATAGTCATAGCTTTGATATTCACATCATTTATATTTTAACCTATCTTTAACCTTTGCTCACTAAGCTAGCTTCCTTTCGCGTTTTGATCCGATTTGTTTCTTTTCGATAAAATCTTATCGAAGTTATCGACGTTATAAATCGATGTTTGTCAAAAAACAGTTCCTCCATGATAAAAGACAATCTCCTTTACCATCCCGTTGTTTCCTATGGGAGATATAGTCGTCCGATATGTACTACCTGCCATAAATACACACTTTTTGGTATAATATCAGTAAAATTGGAGAGAGAGAGAGAGACAGACGTCAGATGGTGATGCTGATCCAGAATATATATTATATATTTCATGGGTATTTTGTTTTGCAAAATATTATTATCCTCTGTAAGGGAATAAAAAGAGATCGCAACTTTTAACTCGTATCAGTTCAATTTGCAAAGTGCCAGGCGGTTTAAAACGTCTGCAGGATTTCGTAGAGGCCATTTGGTCCCTTTGGTCCTTTCGAACCGTATTCGTATTCATTTTTAATGCCAGCACGTGTTTGAGCAGCCGCATTAGACCTACTACATCTACTCGTAAACAATGCTGGCCGCAATCAATAAACCGGCCACATGTCATGAGAAGGTTAGAACCTCAATTGAAAATTCATTATTGCACTTGGGGGTTTTTCGAGTGTTTTGTGCTTCTTTGCGACGCGGGGGAAATAATATTTATTGCTTGCACCTTGATACACCCACCAATCAACCAGGTGGATACACGCCTGTATAGGGGCCACAGTTGCCCCGGAAGGATGTTCAACAGGAAAAGGAACCAGAAGTAAAGCTACACATCTATATGTAGTTTAACACAAAAAGGAACAAGAACTAAAACTATATAGATGTGATGATCTACTTCTTGTTCCTTTTCCATTGGTTAAGAGTACTAATATGAAATGTATAACCTTGTATTTTACACTCAAGCTTAATATATTTCCTATGTTATACAAATACATAATTTAATTTTATATAATCTATTTTGTTTAAATTATACGGCTTAGTACAACTATCCCATTGCTTTTACCTTTGCAGAGAGTTTTATGATTTCAGTCATAGTTTGCAGTATATAACTCTGAAAGGTCTGGATCGGACGACCATATCGGATAGCTTCTATAGGGGAGTTCGAAACAAAACAAGAAAGGAAACTAACCTCGTCGATGTTATAATATTTCCCATTAAATATACCCCTATATTATAATTTCAGTCAAGTTTGCAACGCGGTAAAGTAGACATATCTGATCTCCTGAAGTATATATGTTCTGTATAAACCATCTAACCGATCTATTCATATACAGATAAATAGCACAAATCAGACAAAGAGAAGTAATATCGTATATGTTAACGAAACCCAAAGACTTCCGAATAAATGATAGAGTGATTTTATAATGTATTAAGTAGAGTATATATTACAGAAATACTAGGCAGTTATTAAGCGGTTGAACTATGTTTAAATCTATACATAAATAGTTCAACATTTTTAAAAACGATCTTTTTTTTAGAAACTGGAGATCTTTTTCGTTTGTACTTGCTGCTAAATCCTTTTTTAAGTTCTATCGCTTCAGACCATTGGCTTATTTTTCAAGAATCCTTGGAGGTAGAGTTCAAACTTCTGGATTCCTGATCACAAAACATTAGAAATTTTCAAGTTTCCCATTAGGTTTTTTCATCAAGTTCTACTCTATTTATTTAAGTTTCGTCCCAAGTACGTGTTTTCAAAATGTAATCTATTATTTGAAGAATAAATGGCTCAGTTTTTTTGCAACTAAGGATGAGGGATTTTATGAGAGGGATTTCATAAAAATATCATCATAAATTAGTTGAAATAAATCGGTTAATTCTAACCATAAAACAAGAAAGGAAGCTAGCTTTGGCAAGCCGAAGCTTATATACCCTTGCAGTCATCAAATATTTCGAACAGAATACACAAAGGCTAAACAACATCGAAGCAACGACAACTTTTCTATTAACTTTCCATATTTTTGACTATTGTTCATATGGCAGCTATATGATATAGTCCTCCGATTTTGATGAAATTTTATTTGTTATTCAAGAGTCGTTAGAAAACTCTATATTCCAAAAATCATGATTTTCTGATGAGAAATAACGATGTTATCATTTTATTTCCGTTAATTCTATATCGATTTTTCGATCTCTCCTATGGCAGCTATATGATATAGTTGTCCGATTTTTATGAAATTTTTTTTATAAATCAAGGCTAGTTAAAAAACTTGACACTTAATAAATGATAGTCGTGTGATGAAAAACAATGACGTTATCAATTAATTTCCATTAATTCTATATATATTTTTCGATCCCTCCTATGGCAGCTATATGATAGAGTTATCCGATGTTGATAAAATTTAACTCGAAATTCGACAGTAGTTTATAAACACCATCTGGAAGAAATCAAGCCGATCCGATCAAAAACAACGGAGTGAGAATTTTTTTTTCAATCTCTCGTATGGGAGCTATCCGATATAGTCGCCCGATCCGGCCCGTTCCGACTTATATACTGCGTGCAATAAGTACACAACTTTTGGGAAAGTTTCAGCAAGATAGCTTCAAAACTGAGAGACTAGTTTACATAGAAACAGACAGACGGACCGACGGACAGACGTACAGACGGATTTCGATTCAGATCGTGATGCTGATCAAGAATATATATACTTTATAGGGTCTAAGGTGCCTCCTTCACTCCGTTGCAAACTTTTGACTGAAATTATAATACCATTTTGCTCTGCAAGGGTATAAAAAGGCTTTAAATTTCATGTTCAATTAACGGATTACTTTTTACTTGACCTATTATATAAATAATTAAACAAAATTATAACGTTGTTGTTTTTTATCCCACGACCAGATTATTAGAACATCGGGCAACTATATCATATAGCTACCATGAATATTAGAACATCGGGAGAAAAGTTTCATAAAAATCGGACAACTATGTCATTTAGCTACCATAGGAAAGATCGAAAAATCCGTGTAGGATTAACGGAATTAACGAAAAAACAAGAAAGGAAGCTAGCTTCGGTAACCCGAAGCTTATATACCCTTGCAGTCATCAATTATTTCCCGTATTTTTATACCCTTGCAGAGCAAAGGGTATTATAATTTCAGTCAGAAGTTTGCAACGCAGTGAAGGAGACACCTCAGACCCCATAAAGTATATATATTCTTGATCAGCATCACCATCTGAATCGAAATATGTATGTACGTCTGTCCGTCTCTCCGTCTGTCCGTCTGTCCGTCTGTCCGTCTGTCCTCCTGTCGGTTTCTATGTAAACTAGTCTCTCAGTTTTAAAGCTATCTCGCTGAAACTTTCCCAAAAGTTGTGTAGTTGTTGCACGCAGTATATAGGTCGGAACGAGCCGGATCGGCCGACTATATCGGATAGCTCCCATACAAGAGAATGAAATTAAAAATTCTTACTCCGTTGTTTTTGATCAGATCGACTTGATTTCTTCCAGATGGCGTTTTCTAACTGCGATTGAATTTCGTATTAAATTTTATCAAAATCGGATAACTCTATCATATCGCTGCCATAGGAGAGATCAAAAAATATATATATAAATAATGGAAAAAAAAATTATAATGTCGTTGTTTTTAATGCCACGAGCATGATTTTTGGAACATCAAGTTTTTTAAATACTCTTAAATCGAGAAAAAAATTTCATAAAAATCGGAGTACTATATCATAGAGCTGCCATAGGAAAGATCGAAAAATCTATATAGAAATAACGGAAATATAATTATAACCTCGTTGTTTTTCATCAGACAATAATGATTTTTGGAATATAGAGTTTTCTAATGAGTCTTGAGTTACAAATTAAATTTCATTAAAATCGGACGACTATATTATATAGCTGTCATATGAACAATATGGAAAATTAATAGAAAAATCCTCATAGCTTCGATGCTCTTTAGCTTTTATGTATTTTGTTCGACATATTTAGTAACGGCAAGCCGAAGCTAGCTTCCTTTCTTGTTTTTATATAGATTTCTCGATCTTTTATATGGCCGCTATATGACAACGTGGTCGGATTTCAATGCAATTTTTTTCTCGAATAAAGGGTTATTAAATAACTCCATTTTTAGAAAATCATGATCGTGGGATTAAAAATAACGACGTTATAATTTTTTTTTCATTATTTATATATATATTTTTTTATCTTTTGTATGGCAGCTATATGGTGGAGTTATCCGATTTTGATAAAATTGTATCCGAAATTCAATAGTGGTCAGAAAACGCCATCTAGAAGAAATCAAGTCGATCTGATCAAAAACAACGGCGTTAGAATTTTTTATTTCAATCTTTTGTATGGGAGCTATCCGATATAGTCGCCCGATCCGGCCCGTTCCGACCTATATACTGCGTGCAATAACTACACACCTTTTGGGAAAGTTTCAGCAAGATAGCTTTAAAACTGAGAGACTAGTTTGGGCAGAAACGGACAGGAGGACAGACGGACATATGGACATACGGACAGACGGACAGACGTACAGACGTATTTCGATTCAGATGGTGATGCTGATCAAGAATATATATACTTTATGGGGTCTGAGGTGTCTCCTTTACTGCGTTGCAAACTTCTGGCCAAAATTATAATACTCTTTTGCTCTGCAAGGGTATAAAAAGGATCAAAGCGTTGTTTTTCGGCAGAAAATCAGAATTTTTCAAATATAGAGATTTTTAATGACTCTTGAACTTCGAATTAAATTTCATAAAAATCGGACGACTATAAAAAACAAAAAAACAAATATTAATTATAAATTTAAGTAACTTCTGCAAGTGAATAAAATGCCAAGGTTCCGTGAACAAAAAGCTTATCATGCTCAAGTTCCTATAATGTATTAATAATTTATGTTCAGAAAATGCGCTCAAAAGATACACATGTCCCATGTGCAATATTCAGCATTGTGGTGCCCTTCAGAAATAAATGATTGTTTTTCCGATACGCTTTGAACTGAACATTTTATTTATAATAATGACTTCCGCTCACTGCGACGGCATCCACACAAGGCCTAGTGTTTGTACTCCGTATCCCTTGTAATAGGCACATACAGATTTGCACATAACGGTTTATATGTGTGTGTGTTGCAGTACAGTTTGAGGCACAAATATTGACTTGAGAACTGTCAAATAGCTTCCGCAAATGTACTTCACCAAACTTCTCTGCGCTTAGAGCGCCTTTCGCCTCGTTCTTGCTCTTATATTTAAATACCAATATTTATAGACCACCTATACGTATGTATGAAAATGGGAAACATAAAAAAATACATCCTGTACAGTCACGGGACTCTACAGTCGTGGCAGAATCCGAAAAAGGGAAACAACAATAAACAAATAAATTAGTTACGGTAAGTGCGGAAGTAAAGCAAGAGGAAACGGTAAAGTCGTCCGACTCGCCCATCAGATACCCATTGCTCAGGTTAACGGTTTTAAAGTCACTGCGTTGCAAACTTCCGACTGAACCTATAAAACCCTCTGCAAGGGTAAAGAAAATAGAATAGAGATAGAAAACTTTATGGGGGGGGGTAAGGTTATAAAAAATTTTTTTTTACATTTTTTTTATTTTTTTTCTGAGTGACCAATATGTCGAGAACATTGTGTACAAATTTTGAGTCAATTAAAGTCAAACTAACGGAGTTACAGCGTTTTAAACAACCGTATTTGGACGTATTTTCACGTAAAAAAATACTTTGAATCGATTTTGCCGAAGACGCTATTTTGAAAGTCGGTGAACATCAGACTTCAAAATCTACTGAACCGATCCTTTTCCAATTTTTAACACAAATTCTCAACATAAATACGCAGGTAATCAGGAATAGTTTTTTTTATTTTTTAATTTTTTTCTATTTTTAAAAAATAAATTAACAGCGATCTTTTAAGCTAAAATTGCACTTTTCACTTTCAAGTGCTCCCAAAAATAGACAAAAAATAAATTAAAAAAAAACTCTTCCTGATTACCTCGGGAAATTCATTATCTTTACAACGCATATCACATTTTATTTTTAAGATGATCCGTTAACGCCCTATGATGTTCACCGCAAAACAACTTTTTTTTTAGGCGCTTCGGAAGATTAACCTCCACAGGCTTATTTCTTAATATTTTTAAATAATTTTTTTTTCTAATACTCTTCAAAAGTTAAACAATAACATGTAATTAAGCTCAATAAAATAAACTTACTCATTTCGCCGCAAAAAAAATCAAACATGGCCCTTTTTTTGGCTTTCCCCTACCTTTCCATTTAACAAATATTTTATATTTTGTTATATATACTATGTTAGTTCTTTAAAAGCAAAGGTTTTGCATTTTTAAGTTATATTGTATTTCAAAGATAACATAATCTTCGTTTTCTTCTTGGTGAAACTAGCTCCTTAGGCGAATAACCTCACTAAATTTTGTTAACAATAATTACAGAGACCGCCGATATGCCGACATGCCGCCCCCTGGAGAAGACCAGTCGAATGAGAAGTATTACTCCGATTTAGAGATGATCAAGCAACTTCAGATTATAAAAAGTCAATTATTCAGTCAAGTAAGTTTTTTGTTATATATTTTTTGAACAAAGTTGAAGAGTTACTTCAAGTTACTTTTTTTGTTGGAAGGTATATTACCCCTTTACTAGATTAATATATAAAAATTATATAAAACAAGAATTATGCTAGAATTTTAATTGGCCTGAAAGGTATTGGACCTACTAGAAGATGAAAAAACAATTTTGGGACTTAAATACTCGTACTATACTTAAAATTCTGAATGTTAATTTTGAGAGAGGTTTCGGATATGGATAGATCAACTTTTTAAATTATAATTATACATTTGCTTATCAAGAATACATATGATTTATGTTGTTCACTTTACATAAATATCACTCACAATATATTATTATGATGTAGCGTTAACTGAATTGCATTGTGATTGTCGAATATCGTGTCTTTAAAGATTTTAATTGTTTTTAAAAAACAAGAAAAACACGATGTTATAATTTTATTTAAAACTGAGAGACGATTTTAAAGTGAAACGGACAGACGAACACGCGTATTTCGATTCAGATGGTGATGCTGATCAAGAATTTATTATATATACCTACTTTATGGGGTCTGAGGTCTCCCCTTTTGCAGAAGTTTTGTAAACTTCTCAGTGAAATTATAATGCCCTCTGCATGGGTATAAAAGCTTCATAGCTTCAAAGTGACATAGCTTCGATGTTGTCATCGATGACTTTTAGATTTGAAACTAGCTTAACAGTTGTAATGCCTGCAAGGGTATATCAGCTTCGGCTCGCCAAGCCGGCTTCCTTTTCTGTTTGAACATGACTTTAGGTGTGGCCTGGGCAGGGGCTGTGTTAACAGCTTGAAGGAAAGACCATGTAGGAGGAGGTCTGGGAGAAAGTACAAGCTATTGAAAGAAAGCTTATTGTTAGAGTCCTGAATGAACTGAACAACACAAAGGCTATTCAAAGCTGCTCAGCTGATGAAAGGAATGGGGGGCCTCAAATAAGAAATAACGCTATAGTGGCATACGTACAAAGGAATAGGACCAAATTAAAAATGTAAAGTAGTGTTAAATAATAACATATATATATTATATTTGGATAAAATGGTAACAAAAGTTCAATTTATTTTAACGAAAATAACAAACAAATAAACAGAGTTTTTACAACTTTAAATTAAGTGATTACGTGACTACTTAGTTTATTTTGAACGTGGGTTTTTTCATAAAATTATACTTCACAAATAATACGTGACGCTCGGTACAAAAAAAATACTTCAGCTTGGAAATAAATTTACACGCAAAACTGGCAGAACATTTTAAATTGTTATTTGCGTTTAAGGGGAAACAACAAACAAAAAATAATTTTGCAAAATTATAACATCGTTATATTTATTTTGGAATATAAAGTTTTCTAACTACTTTTAAATTTTGAATTAAATTTCATGATTAATAGAAAAATTGTAGAAGCTTCGATTTTGTTGGTAATTCATGCATTTTCTCGACATTCAAAAATTTGTATTATAATGACCGGGTTACTATTTCATTTATAATAGTATGGTATATATACATAATTCTATACCGAACCAGAGATATCATAAAAAAAACTAGGAGAATACTATATAACTTAATTATATAATAAAGTGCACTTTACCGTACAATTATATATATTCCTGGTCAGAATCATCATAGGACAAGTTTGTATAGAAACAAATTGTCGGAGATCGACTTAGATGAAGATGCTGATGAAGAACCTCCCTGATTCTCTCCCTGAAATTATAATGCAGTCCTTATATGGAGATACACTCCAAGCAAGGCAACTTTTTAGGAGCTCCTAAAATCTATACTCATCCACTATTGAAAAAGAACATTTTCTAAGATCACACCGGAAATACGTTGCAAACTTTCTTGAGAGCATTAATCAAGTGTGTTAACCTTGCAAAGCCACTGCAATATCATGGCATGACAATCTCATACGAAATGGAAAGGAAAAGTACATATCTATATCTTTGCGTGCAAGTATGCAGGCAGAGAACTATGAAGTGATGATATAGGGGAATGGAAATAGGATGGAAAAATTCTATTTTTAAAGGGGAAATTTATGAATGAAAACATGAACACTTCTGAGTCTATAGCATCAGATTTAACACATCTCTTGGTATATATACAAATATGCTGCTGTATATGACATGTATTCTTTTAGGCATCTTTTTAACCATTACAACTGATACCAGGATGTAATTTTAAGGCGTTTTACTGCAAAGAATATCAAGAAAGGAAGCTCATATACAGCAGTAATTAAAAATCTATAATAACGAGAAATCACCTTCCAATAATTTAATATAAAAGTAATGGTAAACAAAAAAGGAGTCATCAAATATGTCGGACAATATGCATAAAGGCTAAACAACCTCGAAGCTATGTCGATTTTTTTTATAAATCAATATGAAAGCTATATGATATAGTCGTTTGATTTTTATAAAAAACTCAATTAGAAATTCAATAGTCATTGGAAAACACTATATTCCAAAAATTATGCTTGTCTGATAATTGCAAATACATTTCTCGATCTTTCCTATGGCAGCTATATGATATAGTTGTCCGATTTTATGGAAATTTTTTACTTGATTTAAGGGTGATTAAAAATATCGATGTTCAAAAAAGCATACTCCTGGAATAAAAAACAACGACGTTATCAATTTTTTGTTATTATATTATTATGTATTTTTCGATCTTTCCCCTTATGCGATTTTGATAAAATATAATCCATAGGAGAGATCAAAAAATATATATTTAAATAATGGAAAAAAATTATAATGTTGTTTTTAATGCCACGAGCATGACTTTTGGAACATCAAGTTTTTTTAATACTCTTAAATTGAGAAAAAAATTTCATAAACATCGGAGTACTATATCATATAGCTGTCATAGGAAAGATCGAAAAATCTATATAGAAATATCGGTAATAAAATTATAATGTATTTAATTTATTTTATGTATTTTGTTCGACATTTTTAGTGACTGCAAGGGTAGCTTCCTTTCTTGTTTTTTTATTACCTTTTTTTACAGTCTCTTGAATTTCGCATAAAATTTTATCATTCGACCGCATTTAGGAAATTCGACTTTATCGCATTTACTACCTGTAACAAACTACAGGACTCGTAGAGCTCCTACGATATAGCATTAGCTTTAAGTGGGAGAAACTGATACAATAAATAATAATTAGATAGTGATACTGCTCAAGAATATATATAGTTTTGCTCACATAAAAATCGATCAGCCAGTTCTGATTGTATAAACCTGACGGGGCCCAAATGCTGAACTCATCTATTATTGTCATAAAATTCATAAATATCGTTGTAAAATGTTTATTGTCTTCGTTCAAGTGATTTAGGTCAGCCCAATATTTTCCGGCGCTTGTGTGGGCTTTTCTTATTTTATCGACGGCCTACGCACTGCCATGCCAAAAAGGGAAATGTATCTATATTATATGGCGACAGAAATGTGTATTATTATTTATGTTCTAATAGTAATTAAAAATTTTAATAACCTAAAAAAAAAAAAATTTTTTTTTTATTCTTAAAATTATCCTTTTTGACACCAAAAATATGTTTATTATTTTTTGCTTTGTTCAAATAGTATGTTTAAAAAATAAGTAGTTGCTTTCGAGTTTGACTCCCACGAAAAATATAAATAAAACTATAAGAAAAGCTTTTTCTTTTACAACATAGTTAGATTGCTTCGGATAGTGATGTTCATCAGGAATGTATATAACTTATAGAGTCTGAGGCGTCTTCTTCTATTTGAAGACTATAAATAATAAATTAATAAACATTAAATTACATAAATCTAATTAGACTAAATCTCTTACTTAAATGGTTTTTCTTTCTAGCTGCCTTCAAATATTTTTCATTCTAAAAATGTCCGGTTAATGCTTTTATTATCTAGTTTTAATGAATTTGAGTGATTCAGTGTAGTTAATTTACATAAAAGGTACTCAAAATTTCCAGGGACTAAGCTTATGTGTGAAAATATGCTTTTAATACGAACCTTTTGAACTTTGATGCTGAAAGATAGTATCTTTTGTTGGGAATCTACCTTGCGGCGGCGGATTTTTTTAAGTATTCAGATATTAGAAGAACCACCCCAGCACCCCAGAGTAGCGAACCCAAACCGGAAAGTTCAGATTCAGATTTCAGTAGATCTATTGCGCAATGACAATATTATTCAGCCCATCATCATCGTCAATCATCCCCTGCTTTTCAGCGAAGTATTGGTAAGATAAACATCACATTAGCGTGATTCCAAGCCGATTAGCTTAGTTAAGCCCAGTCCGAACCTGAACTCCGCAGAAGTTGCCTACTCATTGACAGCTACGGCTGTAAATCTGCTACTCACTGCTACACAATGCCTAAAATATTTCCCCAGTGAGTAATAAGTGCACTTCGACTGGGTGGTCGAGATAAAGAAGCACCATAACCAGTTCATATTTGGTAGTCAAAATACTTTACCATGTACTCAAAGAAAAACAAGTTTAAAAACCAAGTAGAACAAACAAATGTAGACAATTTTATGCTTTGAACTATCTATAAATATCATTGCGATACTTCACGGTATTATGTTATTTAGTCAAAATTTTAAAGTCTGTCCGACTGCCTGATTCATTCTCAACTATTCTCTTAGTTTTTAAGCTATCTCGATACAACTTTTCCAAAATTCGGACGCCTACCCTTGCAGTCATACCAAATGTCCAGCAGAATATATGAATGCGATTCAAAATTGAAACTATATCCATATTTCTATTCATTTTCTGTACTTTCAAAGATTGTTCCTGTGACAGCTATATGGTATAGTCAAAATCGAATAAAAGTATATATAATATTATATATAAATAATGGCATGCTTATGTACTCTTTCAGTCAGTGGCGAATTTAGAAGTTCAATCGGGGGGTTTTCGATTGAAAAAAATTGTTCAGTGTAAATCTAGTTTGTGGAACTTATATGTTAATCTCGGGAATTATCTTTATATCAGTTCATATATATT